TATATATATATATATATATATATATACGTAATGGTACAGTGCAAAAATGAATACACCATAAGGGACTTGACAGAAAAAGTCAAAAAGAGATAGCGGCAATGGGTGTGCAGCGTACATTCGTGGGTGGCTGAGTGTGTATATGGTTGAAAACAGTTGGAAGATAGGTCGTTTGCTTACACCACAAAAACGGATAATGAGTTATCATTTGATTGATTAGCCCGTCGTTCGGGAGAGAATAAGAATACGGAGAGCGACGAGGTGGGGGTAGGGAATTTCATGTTAACTGAACGGAAAATCTAATCAGTCAGAGTTTACATGGACTTTGAACACCAACTAACGACCGTATACACTCGTGTTTAGACAATTCATCCATTTACTGGTTCGTCGCAGATTGCATCAAGAAAACGATGCTCAGTCAAAAATTCACTCACTGCTGAAACCTTGCAAACAAACTACAAACTGTTTTTTTGCTTAGAGTCGTTAATGATACGCATCCATCGAATCCACGGTAATACTCATTTGGGTTATTTTGCCTGATCCGCGGTTGTCTGCAGCACTAATAGTACACGACAGGGGCGAATTTCTTTATTTACTGCTTTTCAGTGGTCCATGACCAATTTGACTAAGCGCACTGGACCCGCAAAATTAGCCTGATTTGCCAACTAGTTCCATAAACACGCACACACAAACCATTCACTAGCACCGGGACACGAATTGGTGGCCTTTGACAATAGATCAGTCGGGTCAAAACAAAGGCTACACGAGCGAAATCAAGCCAGATCACTAATTGTTAGTGATTATCAAACGACGAATCGAATGGGATGTGATAGGAAAGCACGAGTTGAACCATGTGTGAATCAATCATCTATTGTTATCAAAACCGCGCAATTGACATCAAAATAGAAAGATTAGATAAATATCGAAATACGCACACGAATTCGATTGGGGAAAAACGGGATCATGGAGAGGTTAATTGCCATAGCAGAACATCAGTTTCCAAAGAAAAAAATACAACATTCTGAGAAGATCCAAAACGCAGACCGGCTGTGTCTGACATAATGGAACCGGAGATGAGGATGAATATGAAAAATCTTCCTTGTTTACAGAGATGGCACACGCGTGTTTGGCGATTATAAGAAGTGTTTCATTGTCACCGGGCGCCGAACAGCATTGGAATAGCCTTCTCGAAAACGATAATACAGAGCTTGATTGATCAGTTTAGGACTTTCCACAATGTTTGCTTCTAAAAAAAGGGTGAACGGTAAACGCACTAAATGTAGACGAATCACCTTTTATGTTCTTTGGTGCAACACCAACCTTCCGTGTGTCTGTAAGAGGACGGCCGAAAAAGTCGCGCTTGACCTGAAAAAGAGTAGAACAAACACATGGGGTGAGCAGGAGCGACTCGAGAGGGCAATGAAAGAAGGATATCAATCTCAACATCATCCACAGATGAAAAATATTGCAATCGTCTCATGGTTGTCTTTTTTAATCTTCAAAACATCCAAGGGCTTTCATCGAGCTAAAGGTACATCTATACTATAATGGTAGACTGATATAAATTAATTCCACCCGCTCTGCCCTAGTTCGATAAAACTGTTCCCAAATTATCCTTATATGTATAGTGAATAAATACTGAACGAAATTAACAAGGTCACAATAGACCTTCAAACTTCTTTGAACTTGACCACTTCAAAACAATAGACTATTTTGTGAGTGTCTCAAATCGGAACTGTTTAAGTATGACTGGGTCCTTTGAGAAGGAAATCGAACACCTGGTTCCATTGATTAATATATTGCGTGATGAAAAACGGATACCCCTAAAGGACTCAAAGTTTAAGTCAAGAAATCTGGACAGAAAGCATCGTTAAAATGTGGGACAGAAAACGGATAACAGAGGTGAAGAGCTGGTTAAAAAGGAAGGACAGTAAAGAGGATCGAAGCGAGCATGCTTCAACTGATCCAGAGAAACACTAACTCGTTTGGGTTGGTGATTGGCGTCAAATAATTTTGACTCAGGGCTCACTGTGGTTTTTACAAAAGCACCTGTCACCTTTCTTGTAAATCGGAATGATGACCGATTGACACCATTCAGTTGGAACCTGTTCCCTCTCCCAAACTGAGCACAGGAGTTTTGTTAACTCCAATACTAAGACAGAACCTCCATCCTTAAAAGCGGATGGGGAAAGTCCGTCGGGGCCGAAGGCCTTATGCCTTCGGAGGTAGTTTATTTCCCGGGAAACCTCCATTTCATATGGAGGACTGGCATCAACTGGGAGTATTTGTCCAGTCGAGGCGGAGAGTGAAAGATAAAATGTCACTGGGGGCCAGTTGAACTGAGCCCTTCTCTGTTTGTTCTTTCCTTCGAATTTATTCTTCTCTATGGTATCACAATTAATCTAAGCTAGTGAGAGGTTAGACTTTTTTCTCGAACCTTGTTAAGTTACATCATCGACCAGAATGACATCTATCTCTCGGCTTTTAAGGTCTTAGATTTTGTGCCGTCTCGCTGTTCCCACTACGACTCGAGATCTTCGAAAAGGTGCTACCATCGTTTAATCCACCATACTAGTGACCTCTCACTTCGGTCGTCCATAATTTCGAATTATCCCAGAGTGCTGTCCTGTAGCAACTCATGAAGGGTTAGCGGCATCTGCCAGTCTTTTTCTCTCCTCCGTGACCTATACCTGTAATATGGAACGGTATGCCTACATTCACATGGCTAATTTCTCGTCCCCTGACCTCAAATCATACTGCGTTAGCATGAATGCAAAGATTCTGATTCTACGGTCAAACGATTTTGTCTGTTGTCTCCTCATCCTGCCCTGCTTGTGGCTGCTTTGATCCCCCAAACGTTTGTACTATGATTTGATTAACTCCACATTTCGAAATCAAACCAATATGTAAAAATATAGCGCATGAAACGCTCCTATAGCTCATCTCATGTTTCGGCAGTTTCCCACGAATGAGTGAGTGTACGTAGAATCTTGAAGTTTGGTATAGTGAGATATTGTCTCATCATTTTATTTTGGCTCTCATACAAGTCTAGTATTAGGTTAGGTAAAATCCACTTCATTACTCCTCCCGAGCACCGTAGTTCAATAGTTTAGTGACATGAGTCACCCACACACA